TTATATTTTTTTCTTGGTCACAAAGTCTCATGTGACAATACAACTGGCCAAGAAGAAAGACTAAACTTATAATAAAACAGAGAGTAGGAAACCAGCTCTTATCTGCAGTTCTTATGGAAAGTGTTACTTTCTAAGGAATATCTTAGGTCCATAGTACAAATCACTAACCCAAGAAAACATCCTGGCTTGGTGAAATCTGGGAGTCCCTGATGGCACAAAATAATTTAATTATTTTAGTCTACTACTGTATTTACCATTTGTTTCAAGGCTTCATACATCTGCCTCAGGAACTCCTGGAACTGAGGCAAGTGCTGACAGGTATCCTTCTGGGTTTCCAAAGTAGAAGCCTGGTCCAATGCAGAAAGCTTCTGTAACCAATACTCACAGTCAGAAGCAAGGCCTATGAAATCCTGAGCCATCTCAAAAAAAGGAAAAAAGGTGATGTCCTTGCACAGCAGGCTGCCAAGCACTGAAAGAAATGGAGAACACATACCAAATCTGTAAGAAAGGAAACCAGTGAAGAAGTATTTTAGAAAGGATCTTCCTACTCTTAAAGTCCTGCCTTCATGATCCACTGAGTTTGAAGGTGGATTCCAAGGCACCAAAAGAGCCTGCCTTAGATGCTAGAGTCATATTTGAATCATTTCTAAATGTGTCATCCAGCTGTAGCAATGATTTTTTCCATGTGAACTTTTTATCATGAACAATATCTTTAGGTTACAAGTCATTATACTTCCACCAGCACATACTAATTATGTACAAAAAGCACAGCTGATAACATTTTATATCTTCTTTTTAAGACTGAGCTATTTTTAAATGTTCTGAAAATGAAGTTCCTTTGAGAACGATATTTTAATGTAATGGGAAATCAAAAACATCCATGGTTATTTAATAGTAGTCTGTGCCTAAGAAATGTTTTTGATGTTCTTATGCTTTATATGTATTGCTGGTTTCTCATTTAGGTGCAAAAGAAAAAAAACCTCTATGCATTACTGTCTAATGAATTTTCTTCCCAATTTCTCTTCATTTCTCAGAAAGTAAAAAATTCTTTCCCATATATCAGTTTAAACAGTCTGCTTAATTAAAAGACTGCTTAACATACATGATCTCATTTCATCCACAAGAGGCCATATTTTAGTAAAGTGTAATGAATTCCAACTATTAAGGATGTACACTAGTCTTAAGTAATGGAAAATAAAATCTCTTAAGCCTGACTTCCTACCCTTAAGTCCATGTTCAACAGCACAGTGGGGACCCACAGGAGCATAGCCTCAGGCGGAGTGAGCCAGTGGACTACTCCCTAGTGCCCCTCCATGCCCTGGGAGAAGAAAGGGAAGCAAGGGGCCAAAAAGGGAGGTCCCTTCCTAATGAGGGCGCAGACTTTCACAGACTCCTGGCTCCCCCAAGCCAGATGACACTGCAGGACCTCATTTTAAGAGACTACATTGTGAGTAGTAAATCACTGAATTTAAATTGTCCTCAGCAGTAATAATTAACTGATAAAATGTTCCTAACTAAATACCAAAAATATCAACAAAGAAAGTTCCCATTACTGAACAGGAAAACAAGAAGAAATTTAAGAAGAATGTACAATTTGACTACTGCAAAACATCTAGACTCGGAAGACAAAAGTTCTAAGTGGTACTTAACATTTTACAGACTTGAAAAGTATTTGGTTGAAATGCAAAAAGTTAATAGCTGGGGAAATATATACATACTGTCAAAATGGCACTTAAGACCTGTGATCAAAATATATAATGAATGTTTAAATTTTAAAATTGTTGTAGTAGTTGCAAACCATACAGTCAGGATGGCTAAAAGGGACTCCAAGAAACCACAGGGAAAGATGCCTGCATGTGCCTTCTTTGGGCAGATCTGCAGAGAAGCACACAAGAAGAACCCAGAAATCCCCGTCAATTTTGCAAAATTTTCCAAGAAGTGCTCAGAGAGGCAGAAGACAATGTCTGGGAAAGAGAAGTCTAGGTTTGATGAAATAGCCAAGGCAGATAAAGTTCACTATGACCTAAAGATGAAAGATTATGGAACCACAAAAAGAGGCAAGAAGAAAAAGGACCCCAACAAACAAAAAAGACCACCTTCTGGATTTTTCCTGTTTTGTTCATAATTCCGCCCCAAGATCAAATTCACCAATCCTGGTATCTCCATTGGCAATGTGGCCAAAAAGCTGGGTGAGATGTGGAATAATTTAAGTGACAGTGAAAAGGAGCCCTACATCACCAAGTTGGCAAAGGTGAAGGAGAAGTATGAGAAGAACATGGCCGACTATAAGTCTAAAGGAAAGTTCAATGGTACAAAGGGTCCTGCTACAGTTGCCCAGAAAAAGGTAGAAGAGAAAGCAGAAGAAGAGGAGAAAGAAGAAGAGGAAGAGAAGTAAGAGGATGAATAAAAAACTCTTTTTGTCTCCTTGTGAATCCTTCAGAGTAGGAGAACGCCATGACAGACTGTTTCTTAGGTTAAACGCCAACCAGATTGTGATCAGGTAGTCTCTCAAATGCTCCAGAAGTTGGCAGTAGTTGCCCAGTGCAGCCACCGAGGCCAGAATGCTGTGAAATTATATCAAAGCTGTACATATTTCCAAACATTTTTAAGCTGAAAAGGCACCCTGTGCTCTCCTCACTCTGTGCACTTTGCTGTGGCTGTGAAAAGGTATTAGGAGATGTCTCTGGCATACCTTTTTTAAGTTGTAAGGTGGTGTAGAGCTGTGGAGCAGATGCCACTGAGAAGGAACTTTAGACCTGTTGTTGCTGTGGCTGTGGCAGGCAACCAGTTAGTTTCTGTATATAGTGACCTAGCATTCTGCTGCCCTCTCTTAGCTGGGGACTGAGAACACAGAACTGAGAAGTGTTTGAAGTCTTTACTGTTTTTTTTTTTTTTTTTTAGTTAAGTGCTAAACTGTTTCCAAACTGTAGAATTCTTCATTGGCAAAGAGTCAGAGAAGGTTCAAGAAGCTTCTGTACTTAAACACGATTTGCAATGTTATGAGTTTTTTATGTTTAGAATGCTGAAATGTTTACCAACTTAAATAAACAGTATTACATTTTTAAAAAATTATTACAATAAAAACCACATTGCCATTAATCCCCTCACAGTCCTGCCCCTTACTTTAAACAATACTCCATTATTCTTGCCACTTTTTGAAGCAGTTCTGGAGATGATCTTTTTTCAGTGTGACCAAAAATACAATGCTAGGGCCAGCCAAATAGCTCAGCGGATTAAAGTGCCTGCAAGCAGGCACAGAGGCTGGGGGTTGCATCCCCAGGCCTGCCATGCCGGCCCCACCTCTGGGATGCACTGAAGATGGCAACTGAGACTGAGTGTGGTGGCGCACACCTATAATCCCAGCTCTGGGAAGCTGTAAACAGGAGAGTTACTACTGAGTCCGATCTAGTAGTGAGACCCTGAACACCCTGTAGATCTTTCCCTAAAATTAAAAAAACAAACAAACAAAAAAAAAAAACCAATGTTGCTGTCCAGTGACATTCTACAGAAAAGCAGGCTTATAAAAAGAGGAGGATGTGAAAGAAACCATTCTGAACTGATTCAGGACAAAAGAAGTTACTAAGGACATTCCTAAAAGGAGGATTTGCAGAACTGCTTCAGAAAGCGGCAAGAACAATGGGCCAAGCAAATAGGAAGATCTGAGTATTAAGGACAACATATCTTTTACTATGATAACTTAAAAATAACCTAAACATTCATCATATTTTTATTATGCCACCTACTACTCAAAAATCTAGGCATTAGCCCTGCCTAATCCATCTCTCATTGTCCTCACCATCTAAATCATCGCCAATACCTGTCAATTCTACCTTCAAAATATAAGTGATCTGACATGACTGTGTTCACTTCCTTCTGTCTCACTGCCACCACATCACTCTATCCTCACACCTTTTCAAGTGTTACATTTGTTTTCTGCCAGAGCCTGTTTTTCTGATTCTCATTCTCATTCTCTCATATTCTCTCCGCCCCCCCCAGAACCAGGGATTGAACTCAGGCTCTTGTGCTTGCCAGGCAAGCACTTATTCTACTGAGCTCTCTCCCTGGCCCCTCCAATTCATTCTCTACAGAGACAAAAACAACTTCTACAAATATGAAGATACAACCAGCAAGCTCTCCTGCTTAAAACACTTTTTCCACAGCTTGGGGAAAAAAATTCAACTCCCTGGGACAAAAATTCCAGCACCTTCCTAGTGCCTCTAAGATCCTGCAAACTCAGCTCTGGCACCCACCAGTCTATGCTTCCTCTCCCAGCTCACTGCAGTCAGCCCAGCCCCCACCTGTGCCAGGACACACCAGACCCCACCCTGCTTCCACACTTTTCTGCCCACTCCTTTACAGAGTTCACAGCAGTAACTACCCTACCCTGGGTGTGTACTTGTTCACTTAGTTATTGCTCTTTCTGCTGATTTGTAGAGTCTATGTCTTCCTAGAATTTATCACACATCTGACCAAAAAAACCCAAAAGAATCTGAATGAATGACCCTCCAACAATTTCACAGTCAAGTTTTAAACTAAATTTTATACCAAAATGCTTTTCCAGATAAAACAATTTAATTATTTCATTCTCCCCTCCCCCCACCCCTGTACTGGGGATTGAACGCAGGACCTCGAACTTGCCAGGCAAGTACTTATTCTACTGAGCTATCTCCCTAGCCCCCCGCAATTTAATTCTTAAAAGATAACTCACCCAAGGAAAAAAACTGAAGTATTTAAGTTACTTGTGTAAATTTAATTGTCAAATTTTCATTTTATAAATATAATAGGTTATACATGCGAATACTTACTATGCTCTTGGCAATACAACAAATGCTTTATATATACTGATCATCACAGAAACTTTATGAAATGAATACCAATATTATCCCTGCTTTATAACGGCATTGAGCAATTGTGTAATTGCCCTAAATAAGACTATAAAAATCCAAAGAAGTAAGTACCTGTAAGTGGCCAAAATTGTGGAATTTTTTATTTTTATATTTTTTATGTAGCACTGGGATTACAGGCCCACACCACCATACCCAGTCTCAGTCACATCTCAGTGCGTCCCAAGGGCGGGGCTGGCATGGCAGGCTGGGATCCAACCCTAAGCAGGCACCTTTAGTCTGCTGAGCTATGTGGCCAGCCCTTTAAAATTGTAGAATTGGAATCCAGACTCTGCCTCTAAAATTTATACTCTTAAAAAAAAAATAAACTGAAGAAACAAGATGATGGGTTTCTTATGTATTTCATGTAGCAATATAAAGGCAGACTAGATATCTGGGAATAATAAACTGAGAAAATTTTGACAAAGAAATAAATATTATTTTATGTTATAAGATTGCAAACAAATTTTTGTTTAGCATTTGGAGTGTGTCTGATGGTTCTAAGTGGAGTCAGCTTTAGGGACTGTACAATGGCTCTCAATGCTCTAGTCCATAGTAGGAGTCCTTGGTTGTGACAGTAGTATTG